GGGGGGGGGGGGGGGGGGGGGTGAAAGTATTAGTTGTGTTCGTAGAGACCGCAGCACAGCTGAATTCGAAAATAAAGAACGAAAAGAGATATAGATTGACGAAGAGAAAAAGAAGTCAGAAGACTGAACAAGAAAGATGGTAAGATGCCTGATTCAAAACATCGTCTGAATATGTGAAAGGAGAGACAATGGGAGGAAAGAAAGAACAGTGATGGAAGAAGAGTGAATGGAAACAGAACCGTTGGGCAATGGGGGGACAATAAGAATCACCACCCCCAAAAAAGGTCCAGGTCATGTGGTTCAAGTCACAATGAGAGTAAAAAGAAAGCAGGCGCTCACTTGACTCAATGTGCGAGCCGGGGAACAATGAACCGTGAGCCGTGAACAATGAAACCAAACCATTGGCAATAGCAACGCTTTATTGGGAGGGTCCAGGTCCTTTTTCAAACCGCCGACCCAAGACGTCCCCAATTGGGCGGCGCCATCCAGCCTCGATGTGGGTTGAAGTTGTCGAGTTGACGGTTCCAGTCCCGGTCCCGGTCCCCATAGACGCGCTTCGCAGCCGCCCACAGCCAACCAAAACCTACAAGGCCGGGATTATCGAGGTGGTGGGCGGCTCCCCAAACATGACGACTGTGGCTCGGCAGAAGCGTTTCCTGTAGGCTGCTGCGCAAAGGAGGGTACGTCAAAGAATCATTGGCAAACCGTAAAGTTGGTAAAATGGTAGGCTGGCCAAGGAAGGGGACCGTGTGGTGGTTGCATCGCCTTCTCGCACCATGACCGACTTTTTGGGTCCATCATTTTGCCGCACAGAACAGACTGCAAGTAGCTTCGCACGAATACAATACTTCGTACATAGGCGCCAGGACTTGACTCGGCTCGAATGACGAGGATGCGAGCGCCCGAAGACGATAAAGACGAGTTGGACAAACAGACTACTACGCCGTAGTCATGAGGATGAGGGATGACTGCCCCGATTCTTTCTGGAATGCCCAACTGTAGGACGATGCCGATTTCCCAAAATTGTAATTGCCACCCAGAATGTTCGATCGCTTGGCTCGGTACTTCGTTCTGGGAGAAGAAGGCGACGGACGGCCCGTCCGAAGCGTCGAGGAATTGACAGGCGTTGGCGTTGACGTTGGCGTTGACGTTGACGTCTACGGTCCACGGTTCCTGGCTACTGCCAAGGTACGTGTACACGTAGGGAAACACCTAAATGTCAGAGGATTCATCGTGACTGGCTAAAAACGGTCACGGGTAGGTGGCAGCGTGTGTGGCGGTCATGACGGCACGGGAACCTATGGATTTCCATGTTTGAGTCCCTGGACTTCCAGGCTGACAAGCGGAGATGCCATCGGTAAGCGTTGTGGATGTGGCACCACGTGACTTCTGCTGCCGCCGAGCTTTTGAGTACATGAGGTAGCAATGGCCAATCAGTATCCCGCCTGTGGGGACCCTTGTCGATGCTAGGCCAGCGCTACGAGCAGGAAGTAATTACGAAGTACTTTGTATATCCGTATGCAGAAAGGGTCTCTTGTGAATTCTTCTGTTCCCTTTTTTTGGTCCTCTGCAGCTTGAAAGTTCAATCATTTTTCACTTCAAATGGATCCATCCCTTCGAACAGATTCATTACTAGTCATAACAGAGGATTAAGTTCCTTGACTGGCAGAAAGCAAGCAGGAAGTTGAAGAAGGTTCTCTGATATTCGGATGTAAATGAAACCAATCTTTTAGCCCAAATGGAAACCAAACACGTGACTAGCAACCTAGTAATTTGGGGTTTGTCTCTTTTTCTCTTCTTTTTCTTCTTTTTTCCCCAGACCCTGGACCCCAACTTGATACTTTTGGCAGGCGGTGTGGGCGCAAACTCAAACTCTGCGCCCTACCTGCTCTCCCTCTGTATTCTCGTATTTCGTACCTCGTACTTCGTAAGGTACACAACCTTGCCTGAGGCAGTGCGGCACCAGCAAACAATTGCGCGTTGTTCTTTCCTTCTCCCCGCCTCACTCATCCAGCTTCTCCTCTTCCTCCCTTTGCCCCCTCTTCCTTCAACAACCCAAGTCCGTCTGGTCCTGCAATCAAACAAAAGCATTTGCGAGCCCATCTTTACCGCAACCACCGGGTGGAAACATTGCCGTCAGTGGCCCTTTGTCGACGACAAAGGCTCGCGGTCCATCTCTACACAGGGTTGATTTAATATCTTCCTACTGCTTAGTTTCCTCCTCCTCTTAACCTTGCAGCCTCAAAGCTGTTCCCGCATTTCGCATCGTCTTGACTCGGTCTTCCCCATTCCTTTCATCTCCCTCACTCAACCACTGAACAAGTGGCCAACCCAGACACCATGGCCGAGCCTCCTCGCGACATCTCCTCAATTCTCGCCGCCCTAGGTAAGCTAAGCAAGCCTCGTTCCCCCGTCATCTCATCCATTCTATCAGGCTAACGAAAAGAAACCGGACAGGCGCAGCTCAGCGAGGACCCTCGACAGCTCCCAACCCGGCCCAGCCCGGTGTACCACCTTCATACGCTCCTCCGCCCGGAGCTCAGCCACCCCCGTACCCTCCCATGCCTCAGGCGGCGCCACCCCCCCAGCAGTATCCCGGCGCGCCCAGCTACTCCCTTCCTCAACCATCATCCAGCGGCACCCTTGATCTTAGCTCTATTCGTCCCGTGAATTCCGGCACTGTCAGCATCGCAGATGCCATCGCTCAGGCCAAGGCTTTTGCTGCCGAGAAGGGTGTCAGCTCGTATGACCGCCCTGTCGTCTATTCCAACGAACCACCTCGCGCCCAAGATCCCCGCTCTTACCGAAGGACCTCTCGCTCCCGCTCTCCGCCCTCGCGACGCGATCCATACCGCGACCACGTCAACCCGTATCGTGATGAACGACGCGAGGAACGGGCGTCTTCGCGGACCTACGGCCAGGGCCAGAACCAGGGCCAGGGTCAGGGTCAGGGTCAGGGTCAGGGTCAGGGTCAGGGTCAGGGTCAGGGTCAGGGTCAGGGTCACGCTCGCGACCGCTCCTACTCTCCCGGTCCTCGCGGTCGCCCTTTCTCTCCTCGCACCGGCGGCCGTGACCGATCTCCTCTGCGGGGCGACGGCGGGGACGATCACTCGGAGACTATTTCCATCGAGTCCAGTCTGGTCGGGCTTATCATTGGTCGGCAGGGCGAAAACCTCCGTCGAATCGAGAGCGAGTCGGGCTGCAGGGTGCAGTTCATGCCCCCGACCGACGGTGGTCCTTACCGCTCCTGCAGGATATCGGGTCCGAAAGCGCGTCGCGCCGACGTCAAGACGGCCATCAACCGTATCATCGAAGACAGCGGCATGGGCGTCATCAACCGCGGCGGCGCCCTTCGTCAGCAGCAGCAGCAGCAGCAGCAAAATGACCAGCGAGCGGGCTCTGTCCCGCTCAAGGAGGGCGAAGATTGCGTTCAGATTATGGTACCGGATCGAACCGTCGGTCTCATCATCGGCCGCGGTGGCGAGACCATCCGCGATCTACAAGAGCGGTCCGGGTGCCATATCAATATTACTAGCGAGAACAAGAGCATCAACGGCTTACGACCGGTCAACCTGATCGGGACACCCGAGGCGTCCGGCCGCGCGAAGGACCTCATCATGGAGATCGTCGACAGCGACAGCCGCGGGGAAGCCCAGCCGCCACACAGAAAGGGAGGGAGGCAGGATCAGTTTGGTGCTAGTGGTGGTGGCGGTGCTGGCGGTGCTGGCGGCGGTGCTGGCCACGACAAGATCAACGACACCATCTACGTCCCATCGGAGGCCGTCGGTATGATCATCGGAAAAGGTGGAGAGACGATCCGTGAGATGCAGAACGTCACCGCTTGTAAAATCAATGTCGCCCAGTCGTCCGGCCCCGGCGAGGTACAGAGAGAGATCTCTCTCGTAGGTTCCGCCGACAGTATCAGCCGGGCCAAGGCGTCGATTGAAGAGAAGGTGGAAGCCGTGGTAAGTGAAACTCCCAAGAGCTGAGACCGCCTTGAATTCTTTTCTCTTCCCCTCCCTTTGCGTTGCAGGCCTCGCTAATTTGATCCTGTATCTACAGCGCCAGAAGAGTGGTGGTGGTGGCGGTGGTGACGGCGGCGGCCGCGGTGGTGGTGGTGGTGGTGGTGGTGGTGGTGGTGGTGGTGGTGGCCGTGGACGCCAGCAACATCATGACTATGACAACTACTCGCAGCAGGGATCTAACAATACAGGACAGGCTAGCGGGCCGGCTGCACAAGCTCCCGCCGCCGCAGATGGTTCCGACCCATACGCACAATGTAAGTAGACCATCAGCCATTGCCTCGACAGCAAAACAGTACCAGCACCCGCTAATTCTCGTCTCTCATCACAGATGGCGGTTACCAGAATTACCTGGCCCTATGGTATCAATCACTGGTATATCAGCAGCAACAGGGCGGCGGAAGTGCGCCCCCAGCTGGTGGCGCGCCACCTCCCGGAGCCTAGTGAGGACCAGGCGTGTGTGCTGTGCCTTTTATCTCCACGGACGTTGCGCGCTGGTCACCTTGCGTGATGTGATAGGCTCACTCGCCCTGGATTCTTTGATTTTCTCCGACATGATGCCTCGCAAGATGACGCCTGACACCTGACGCCTGATACTTGTCGCGCCGACACACTCTTGATCCGCCGTATTTGCTTGACTTGATGCTGTATTTGTTCGTCGGCATTTAACCAACCGGTGCAGCATCGACGTTTCTGAGACGACCGGGATGATATGATGCTCTCTGTGTCAGGCCACACTTCTTTCACCTCTTTTTCTCCTTTTCTTTCTTTCTCCCCACTCGGGATTACTGGGAGAGAAACCTCACCGTACTCGCTCGCACACGACTTGAACGATGCAACGACACCTCCTGACACGTGCTGTCCTCTGCTGAACTCTGGCCCATGATAGACGGGATCCATCTTTTCTTTCCTTTTTTTTCTTTGGCGCATCTTATCGACTGGGAAACGCTGGTGCCTATCTGTCGCCTTTTCACTCTGGGATTGGGAGGTCTTCTCTTCTCGCGCCCACATGATCTTGACGCTCCGTCTCTGAACGCGCTCATGGGGAAGACGTGTTGAGTGCTCCTTTCGTTTCTCATCGGACCACATGCGCGCCCACTGTGCACGTTCCCTGCTATGGTGACGCCGGTTACTCCTCTCGATGACTACTCTTCCATGCTGCTGCAGATGGGGATGGCGCTGTCGGCAGTTGGTGCGTTGCTTTTTTGAGAGCATGATGAACAAAGGTCAAAGGGGGTGCCCGTCGGTCTCGTTTTGCTGTCTGCCTACTCGTTGCGCTGCATTGGCGTCAAAAACACAGGGTTGCAGGAGCCGTTGACTTTTGATTCTCGCCTCCCACGAACCTATTACCATCCTTTATGGCGCCTCGTTGCGTTTTTTTCTTGCTAGCTTCCTTCCGATGGGTGTGTGTGTCACTGTCTGCTGCCATGGAATAGAAAGGGGTTGGGGGGGGGGGGGGGGGGGGGGGGGGG